TTGTGCCATAGCCGTAGAACGGGTTTCTGCATTCTCTGCTTGTAAAATAGCTGCACATTCTCCACATATCCAATTCTCAGTAGACGGTGGTTGCATCCCTATGCACCTGCGATGCCATGATCGAGGACAAGCGCTACAGTGTGCTTCTACAGATTCTTTATGACACCGCCAACAAAATCTATCGCTCGTATTTTTTCGTTTTCGTTTACTTCTAGAATTATTCTCCTCTGAAAGTGAATCTCCTTCTTGAGTACTGAAAAGCCAATTTACTTTTTTTAAATTAAGAAGAAACTACGGTACCGATTACTATAATTAGTCGCATATCAACCTGAAATGCTTTCTTCTGGCTTACATCTATCAAAATTAAAAGAAAAAAATATATTAAAGGCAAAATTTACACTCACGCAAAGTTTCGTTGCTTTCTTTTCAAATGATTTCCACTCCTAGCTGTAGTCTCTTTTGTATCATCACTCTTATTAATTTTGGAATCATTTTTCAACACATTCGATATTGGATCTGATTTTCCTGTATTCTGAACACATTCTATTTTATCTATGTTACAATTAACTTTTTCCTTATCATTTTCTAAAATAATCACCTCCTCCTCCTCCTTCTCATTCTCATTTTGATTCTTATTTTCGTTTCTCGTCTTATCACAGTTTGTAGTATCTGTTACATCTTTAATACTATCGGTTGTATCTGCAATTACCATTTTATCGTTTTCCTTGCAAGATTCATCGATGGATGCACTTTGTGTTTTTTGAATATTCGATACTTGTGAACTTTCCTTTCGTGGTTCTGGCAAAGCTGGACTTTCTAGATGTAGAGAACTCGTGATACTTCCTTCGACTTCTATGGATGTCATTTTGACACATTGTATGCATTTACTTCAACGCATATGTTTACTTAAACATAGAAATAAAAAGAAAGTGATTAAGAACTGTGTAAACAAACAAAAATGTATCTATACATATGTGTTTGTGTACGCACGCGCGCGCCATCAAATTACATTAAACAACATTGATCTTTTATTTATCAATCATTTATTCATTTTCAAATGCATTAAAATTGAAAAGGTACTAACGCTATAAAAAAAAAGTGTTTGCATTCATAGAAATTTTGTTTATATTATATACTATGATCCATGGTATTACACAACAATACTACGCATTAAAGAGAAGAAAATAATGAAAATTTATATAGTAGACATGATCGATAAATGCTTTTGGAACACAGCTTTTGTAATACATATATTGATTGACGATAGTTTCGTATAGTATACATTAATAGTAACTATACAAAAGTGCACTAGACTATATCCTATATTATAATGGATACAGACAAGATAATTACCATTAATGTAGTTCGTATACGAATTCAAGTATTTGAATGGTAAAAATGTTTTAAATATTTTATGATGTCTGAAATATGTTCTACGAGTCGAATAAACCACTTTCCATACAAATTCCAAACAACATGGATAAGCGAGATATATCACTTACCATTACCAATACGACATTACATCAAAAAAACATTAGCATTCCTGCTCCCCTCCTGAATACTTGCTTTGCTTTGTGAATACCGGTGTCTCCATCTTTCGACAATATTTTTAGTTAATAGAACATGTGGTACTGCTACTGCGCGGTACTTTGCATCGCTTCGTATTTGTTCGTATTTACAAGCTATTGAAAATAACGGTCATTAAGTTTTCATGTCTCCTAAATTATTACATTTTTAATAATATAATATTATTTTACGTAGCTATACGTACCTATATTATTTGTACACTTGTATTACTTGTATGTGTACGTATATATATAAAAGTTATTTGTTTAATTATTTGCGTATATAATATATGCATCGTATAAACTAATTATGCATTTTTCAAACACTGTAGGTATCATTCTGCGTTGATGATATATGCTGATTTGACCGATCTATTTTGTTTTTCTTTTATTAAAAATAAAAATATTTTATTTCACACATTACGTATTCGAATATTATGAACAAATAACATTTGGCGATCGCGTTATTAATAAATCTCACTACATTTCTTGGCAAATAAGACACGAAATAAATAAAAAACGCAGCGTTGCAACGTAGCGTTATTTACTGTTCCGAGTATTAGGTTATGTTATACTGCACGAATTGGAATGTATGATCAGGACGTGATATACTGTATCTGTATTTGTACTCTGCTGTACTTTCTACTCTGTAAATTGCTGTAACTGCTGTATGTATATATACTTGGTATTGGAATTGGACTATTGGTATACTAGGTTAGATCAGGTTAGATGAAGAAATAATAACGTGCTTCCCTCTATGCGGTCTTTATACTTATACGATACGTCTAGTGACCACTAAGTAGTGACTGCTAGTGACTAGTGAACTAGTGCGCGCACGCACACATACACGTGCGCGCTTACAAAATGATGAAAAGGTGTAAGGAAACAGTACCGCGACCATTGACAATTGACTTGTTGAATTTAAGCTGAAATATCTTTAAAGAATAAATACATCATAGAAAGATTAATATAAATAGAATATTAAAATAGCGTAAAGAATGTTATATTAGTTTAGTCTTGTGTTATTCTTCTACGGCCGATTTCGTAAGACAATGACGTTAGGTTATGCAGAACTGTCAAAACAATTACGATTACTTTAAAATCACCAACGATTGATACTTGAAGTTTTTAATCGAAGCGTATAATGGACCTTGGTGATTTAATATTAATTCCGAAACTCGACAATGTCGTGTTAATTGACAAAAGTGATGGAAATAGTAAATCCAAAGATGGAACATTATGTATCAGTATTCACCATCTTCTTTGGTCTTCGCGACAAGACGATAAACAAGAACTTTGGGTACATTTTAGAAAGAAAATTATTTTATTATATAGAGTTCGTCAATTTAATAATCTTTTTTCAATATTTTTTAGCTCCTCTATCGAAATGTTGATCTGATAGAGAAAAAGTTAAGTACGCAAAGTTCCGGGGGTAGTATCATATTAAAATGTAAAGATTTTCGAATCCTTCAATTAGATATTATTTCGACAGATGACTTAACAAATGTTGTATTATCCATAGAAAAGTTAATGTCGCAAGGTACAATATATATATACAATTTTACTCTCCACATAAAATATATTAAAGCTGTAACTTTTATTTCTTTTTCTTTCTTACAGAACAAACCTTACAGTATCCTTTTTTCCATAGACCACAAATTGCTAATAACATTATGGTACAGCTAGAAGATGGTTGGACAGCATTCACTCCTGTTTCAGAGTGGTCTAAATTACTAACTGCCCACGCAGATGAATGGCGCATCAGTTATTTAAATAAAGACTATAAAGTTTGCAATTCTTATCCTTCGGCTGTTATAGTACCTCGTCACATAGAAGATAAAATTATTATATCTTCTGCTCGTTTTAGAGAAGGCGGAAGATTTCCTGTTTTATGTTACAGGCACGAAGGAGGGGTATGAAATAATATTCTATAAAGTAACAAACAGAGAGAGTAAAATAAGCATATACTATAGATGTTTAACAAGGGTTTAATAAAAATTGCAGAGTATCTTATTAAGAAGTAGCCAACCAATGTGCACCCTTATCGGTAAAAGGTGTAAAGAAGACGAAAGATTATTAAATGCCGTGTTAGGTCCAGGAAGACGTGGGTAAATACAAAAATTATGTATTCATTTTTTCAGAGATTTCGTATACAAGTTCGTATCGTAGGAGAAAAAGATTCAGAACCAGTCGAATGTATCGCTAATGTACGATGTCTCTATAGTTACATTGTAGATACAAGATCTATTAACCACGCTCAAAGTTCAAGAGCCAAAGGTGGTGGTACGGAAATGGACGCTGCTTATCCGCAGTGGCGGAAAGTGCACAAAACAATTCCTCGTCCCCACGACTTAGCAGACAGTTTTTTTAAATTGATTGAAGCTTGCAACGACATAACATGTTCTACTTCTCAATGGTTATCGCGACTAGATAACGGAGGATGGTTATCCGCCGTACAAAGTGCTTTAAATGCTGCTTGCGTAACTGCTCAGTGTCTTCATCAAGAAGTCGCAGCTGTGTTAGTTCATGGTATATAATCTACAAAATAGTTATAGTAACTTGCGGGTGAATTGTGATACTTGTCGCAATTATATCCTTTATATTTTGAATAGGAGGTGCAGGTAGAGATTGTACTTTAGTGGTAACTAGCTTAACGCAAGCAATATTAAATCCTGACTGCAGAACAGTACGTGGTCTTCAAGCTTTGATCGAACGCGAATGGATACAAGCAGGACATCAGTTTTTTAGCCGCACGCGTCACGGCCCATATCATCCAGCGAATTCACAAAATTCAACTCATGCCCCGACTTTTCTTCTCTTTTTAGATTGCCTTTATCAACTTCATTATCAATTCCAATTTAGCTTCGAGTATACGATTGAATTATTGATCGAATTATATAATCATGCATACTGTTCTGATTATGGAACATTCCTAGGTATATCTATATCTATCTATATATAAGCGCGTACACACATATACGTGTAGTAACTTCATTTCCACGTCTGATTCGCAACTTTGTTGCAGTATTTAAAATATTTGTATATATTGTTTTTAGGTGACACAGAAGCAGAGAGAGTCAGACTTCGATTATCAGAACGAACTTCTAGCTTATGGTCGTACATAAATCAACCAGAAATATTAGAGAAATGGTTAAACCCTTTATACGAACCAAATCCAGGTGTTATCTGGCCTAGTGTTGCGCCAATTAGTATTCAATTATGGAAAGAACTTTATCTTGCTCGTACAAGCATTGCTCCATGGAAAGGTTTATTGCCTTGCATAAAACAAATAAAACAAAATTATACAGCAATACGAAAAGTTGCTGGACAACTGCGGGTTCAGATCAAACGAGCAGTAGACGAAATACGTTCAGATCCTGAAGACGAGCATACTCGCATAGCACAATTAAGTTTAGAATCCCAAAACACATGATATATAGGTTACTGATATTTATCAACAAAACAAATTTCTGTTACATAATATGTTATCGCTATACTTTTCTTTATGACGTGTGAAACTAACACAACAAATTCATATATTTCTAAAATATCTCATTTTGTATAATTTTTTTTCTCCTTCTTTTTAGATTTATTTAACCAATATAAGGTTGAGATAGACAGACATGTGTTATTTCCATACAGAATTCATTCGTTGCATTTGTACCTATAAAATACAAAAGTAATTTCATTGTCATTGTTTATTTTATATATATAGACGCGGTAATGTTTCCGCACAGAATGCACAATTTATTGATGCACTGTTTGTTGTATGTAGAGTGCAAAGGATTTAACAGAAAAAAACATTTTTCAATGAATATATGAGACTAGCGCGCGCGCGCGTGTGTGTGTGTGTGTGTGTGTATGAAATCGTGAATATAATGACTTAAAAAGTTTTATATAAACTTTTAGAAACGGTCAATTTTATTTTCGAAATCTTTGTTCAAACGAAAAATTGATAACCTTTTTAACATGTAGGCAAATTTATACTGTTATTTAGATAGGCTGATGAGGGATACGAGAAAACGAAAGATCCTTGATGAAGAAATACGGCAGATGTACATTACGATAAACAATCTTATACAAGATTTGTGTCTACCAAAATAATTTTAAGACAAACAAACATTAAAAGTAATACGAAACACAAGTTCACTTCTCTTTCCAGATACCTAGTATCTATACATATTTATAATAGTATATAGACGAATATCTCTTTACATAATAAATGTAAACTTACCAACTCTTTTACTTAATTTCTTCCAATATTATTTATTTACCGTTGTTAGTGGTGTCGATAAAGTGGTCGTTTGTCCTAGTTTATCCTGATTATCCGAGCATATTCGAGGTTAAGATTGATCGCATTCATGTAATAATTGATGTTACATTTATAATGTAATCTGCTTAAGAAATTGAATCGTTTAAAAATTGTATAGAGTATATTTTTTATATTTAATTCAAACAAACAAGTAAACGATTAGCACGTGAAAATAATAGTGGTGTATCTATATACGTCAAAATCTCGTACTCTCAACTTAAGTGGATACGTGTAATGCACTTGAAATAAAAAACGAAAATTAAAGCACGTATGTTCGCGTATTAATATATATGATACGTTAAAATGCATAAAACCATTATTTCACGTACACGAACACATTAAATAAGGGACTCTATTTATTTAATACGTATACTATTCTGTAATTAATTTGAATACAGGTTATAAAACGCAAAGTGATCATGAAGAACGAAAAACAAAACCACAGATGTTTAAAAAGTAAACATATACTATTGTTTCAATAAATTAAATTCATTCATTTTTTTTTTTTGTTAACTTAATTAATCACATTTTTTGTTGGATATTCAATTTGCAGCATTATGGATCCGTTTTGATCACGGAAATACGGATAAACATCAACTATTCTTTAAAGAGCACTCCATTAGAAATCAGAAACTTGAACATCCAAGAGGAAGAACATTGTTTATATTAAACGTACCCCCTTATGTTACAGTAGAGGTTTTGAAAAGTATTTTTAGTAAACTTTGCGGGATTGTTTCTAATCTGTTTTTTACAAATGTAAAAGGATTCAAAGAGGCATACGTAGTGTTTGAAAAAGAGTCATCTTTAGAGAAAGCGCTAGAACTCTCAGCAAATTATATAATTACAATAAATAGCGAGAATAGTCAATGCTTAAATGGATTGGCAAGTAAGTTATGCTGTGATGAACTTGTCTTAATCTAACGTATGCTGTTACCGTAATTCTTTCTTAAATTGTTTTCATTTATTCGAGCATATAGAATGGTGTAGAGAATATAACGATTCGATATATGATGAAAAAAAAACGAAGAAAGAAGTTGAGGATTATATGTATGCGTACGACAATAAAATTGTTAACAAAATAGCAAATGCAAAATCTATGGAAGAAGATGACGAAGATAACGATGGTTGGGTAACTGTATCAGGACGAAAGAAAAGAGGACAATTTGCTCTTTCTAGAAAAGAATCTACCATCGATAAAATACAACGCAAAGAAGAGCAAAAGAATAAGAAAAAGCAACTCTTCAACTTTTATACTTTCCAAATTCGTGAGAGTAAAAAACAGAGTAAATATTATTTTGTATCGCCATTCGATTTTTATATTCGCGCGTATTATATTTTGTTTGCTTTCAGATTTGGCAGAGTTAAGAAAGAAATTTGAACTAGATAAAAAAAGACTACAAGATTTGAAGTCAAAAAGGACATTTAAACCATTTTAATTCTCTTGGAGTTGCAAATAGCGTTTCACCGCTGGATACATTGATTCACAAATAGTATAAAGAATACTTTCCTTATTTCAAAATAAAATAGATATTTATTTTGTCATATAAATGTTGTTGATATTTACATCTAGAATTCAACCACGAATATTATACTGCATTTATGTACACATTAAAACAAGATGTAGCGACTTTGAACTTACACTTCCAAATTCAATAAATCAAGCAGCCTTAGATACATAAGTTTGTAGTGTCCATTCGATTAGAAAATGTTGATACGATAAAGGTTGTAGTAATGCCAATAACTCTTCTGTAACAAAAATCAATAGACGACCTGTATAGTATAGATAGATAGGTGATAAGAAGACCGATAATAAATCATAAAAATAGATACGTTTATTTCCATAAATGCAATTTGCAGACATAGCTGCACTGACAGCTTGCGCGAGTCGTTCCATCGCCAAGTCATGCATAGTTGAATTAAGATTCGTTTGAGATTGTAAATTGGTACTTAGAGCGCGAATAGTAGTTGCAAAATGTTGCGCGGATATCGCATGTTTATTGTTTCCACTATTTTTTAATCGTAATACAGAATCCATAAGTAACTGCTGTATTTTAGAATAGAGTTTCCGCTGTTCTTCGTAATTTTCCGCATTTTTTGTGTTACATAAACGTAAAGGACACAAAATGCACCACCTAACAAAAATTTTGAATCGTAATCATCTAGAATAGAACAGGATAGAATAAAATGTTATATACAAATTTACCTGAATAAACCTGCTATGGGTGTTATCGGTGTCATTGGAATCCCACCGGTTGGTAAAGCAGGATTGTCCATTAAAGGCGTCAATAGCAGACTCGGGTTTTCATCTATCCATTCTCCTACCAATCTGAGCAGCTCCGTAGGTGGATCTTTATCTTCGTAAACTTCACCTATTGCCGTTAGTAAATTGGCTATGAAATGTGGCGTAAGAACAGGAAGTTGTTTCAACTTGTCGATAGATTTTGGGGTAAGGACAAAATAGTCGTTAAGTACATGTTTTGCTAATCCCACGCTTTGTAACGAAGTAGAGCCTAACTGTTGCATCCAAATTCCAGTGGCATTTAAAACTGCCTTGTTTTGGGTAGCAATGGCTAACGATACTAAATTACCTAAAATTTTGTATCTAGAACTATCCGCAGGGAACAGAGATAAAAAAACTGCATTGCGGACAGCAGCACTTCCTCCTGGGCTTTGAAAAAAATCACTTAAAACTTCTATTAATTGTAATTCTTGTATCGCTATTGTCATATTGCGTTTCTTTCGCTTCTCTATTTCTCCAAATACAAACTCTGATATTAAATCCAGTTGCAAATCGACTTGTTTTCCAGGCCGACCACATAAAATCTCTTTAAAAAAAGGAAACACGTTAAATTACAAAATTAATCAAAAGTATTTTCCCATAAGGCGGTTAACTATTTAACGAATATCTTACCGATTTTGCATAACGCTTCTCTAGCACAGTAAGGAAATTCTAATTTTCGTAAGTTTTGTTTTATATCATTGCCTGCCATTAATGCATGTGGATATGTATCTTGTTATTCTTGTTCCTGTCATATATGCATAAATGCATTTAAAACAACAGCAACAGTATATACTGACAACTATTTTCATTAGAAACTTGATCGTTTTTCCACCGATGGCGCCACTGATACTAAGACCAGTATTAAATTTGTCATAATCACACATGAGCTGACCATTTTATTACTTCTTATACATATTATTTAGTTACATTTTAAGTTAATTGTAAGGAAAATGAGATATTAGGAGGCTTTCCGCATCTTATATCGCACTGCGACCATATCTATACCATCTATCTATACAGCTAAAAGTAAAATCATGGTCATGCAAAACACACACGCGCGTCACACTGTATACAGGGTGTCCCAAAAGTCGGGGAGGAGCCGGAAATGGGGGGTAGCTAAGACGATTCTGAATAACAATTTCCTTTGCAAAAATGTCGGATGGGGCTTCGTTAAGGAGATATTAAGCGAAAACCCCGACCAATCAGAGCGCACGTAGACCGTTCGAGCGGCCGCGGTAGCGAAGGCTACACACTGGCGGCCGCGCTTGTACGCGAACAAGTGACTCGACGTGCATCGAAGGACATTGACGCTGCCGCCTAGCGCGTAGCCTTCGCTACCGTGGCCGCTTCAACGGTCTACGCGCGCTCTGATTGGTCGGGGTTTTCGCTTAATATCTCCTTAACGAAGCCCCATCCGACATTTTTGCAAAGGAAATTGTTATTCAGAATCGTCTCAGCTACCCCCCATTTCCGGCTCCTCCCCGACTTTTGGGACACCCTGTATAGAAGAGCTCAATAGTTACAACTCATTAAAGTGACAATTTAAAAATACACGACCGTTACGATCTACATTAACTATTTTTCTTTTATTTATTTTTAATGTAAATTAGCTATTAGATTTATTTATCAGAATTGTGGTTTGCAGCGATCAATATATTAATTGAAATGCATTGTTCTAAAGAGGGAGGAAAATATTGATCATAAGTAACAGGTAACATGTAATGTAACGAATAGATAGATACCCATGTACCATATGTATATGTATATTCCAGTCCAGAGAAATTGTGCAGTCGGGTGTCAACAATGTTTAACGTATTATTGTTCTTTTCCGTAATATTTCTGATTCTGTTTACATTTTCCGAGAGCAAAATTCTTCAGGGACGCCTAGTTACACGTGAAGTACTGTATACACTATAAGCAATCTTTGATCAAGATTTGTTGCATTTAATCCGTTATTAAATTAATAATTCGTTGTTTCAATTGAAGTTTCATAATGATTGACTGTTTAAAAACTGATTCGTCAATCATACGATTTTAAATTTCAATTTTTTATTTATTTATTCGTAATTACAACGATATGTTCGATATGTAATGCGAAATTAGCGTGATCCTTTTTCAGAATTGGGCATTTTTGACAAGGTTCTGCTTCTTGACGGAACAAGGCACATTTCGATACGAATTCGAATTCGAGGGTGGAGAAAACGATTTGAAAATATTGTTATATTACGATGCACCTGACCAATGGCCGAGTATTTATCCTTCAAATAAATCGTGCATCGAGAAAGAAGCTATACTTTGGGACGGAATTGGTCAAATAGTACCACTATCGACAATATTGTCAACGCAATCAGGATGCATAGAAGAAAACACGGTGACGCGATGCTCTAGTTATCGAAGATTTCGATCGTCTCGGCCGAGATGGTGGTTCATCGCGTTAGCGGATTGTACCTCGAAAAATGGATTGAATGTATCGTATTGGATATCGTTGACGAATGCGCCACATAGCAGTTTTTGGAGAGAACATTTTTCAGCTGACGAATTCTGTAGGTAATTTTATTCGAATCGAAATCGGAATCGAAATCGGAAGTAATCAAGTCCATTCTCATTTCAGATATACTGCCAGAGTTGATAGCGATTGGTTGCATTTATGTTATAATTGTAATAATAAGTTTTTGTATAGCCATACAATTACGAGCAAGAAGACTTCTACACATGTCTTATAAGATATTTGTAACTTCTTTGTTTTGTCAACTAGCGGGAATATTATTCGAGATTTATAGCTACACGAATCTTGGTTTAAGGGGAATACCAACGGAAAATGTTTCCTTGATGGGTCAACTTTTAGAAGCATGCTCAGATATTTTGTACACCCTACTCATGTTATTACTCGCACTTGGTTTTACAGTGACCAAGAGTACTTTAACACCAAGACAAATTCGATGGCTTATATGCTTCGTCTGTCTTCATTCTTTCTGTCAATTTTCTTTATATATTTACCAATCGGACGTGTTCGATCCTGGATTAGTATTGTACATTTACGAATCACCGCCAGGTTATATGCTAATAGCATTAAAATTGACCGCATGGATTATCTTTTCTCTTCGCTGTCTTAAGACAATTAAAAAAATGTCAACAAAGCTTCATTTTTATGGTTCATTATTTTCCTTGGGATCTGCATGGTTCCTGTGTCATCCAATAACGGTATAATATAATAAACATGCGATTAATTGCGTCTATGATACATATTATTATTCGAAACATTCGTATAGAATATACTAATTGTTTTGCAATATATAAAAATGTACTTGTAATTCCATAGGTACTCTGCGTTACTTTATTAGTAGACCAATGGGTAAGGGAAAGTGTTGCTAAGGGATGTTCGTTATGGATCGTTTTTATGGGACACGTAGCATTTTTATACATCACCCGACCATCTGTGGCTAACAAACGTTTTCCATATCACATTAGAACGTGTCAGGTAATGCCCATTGGTGGCGAGGGACAGGACCACAGTTACGAACCACAAATTAGAACGGCATGTTCTGCATTTACCATTTCGCATCTACCACCGCCTACTTCACGATCCTAACAGTGATCAGATTCTAGAACAGGTGATAATTACTCTAACTATAATTCCATAATATATCTATATTTATTATTATCATCTTTTAAGACATCGAGTATGGCTTATTAGATGACAAATACTAAATCCAAACATAATTTGTTTGTAAGGACCGATGTGGATTTACGCGTGACAGCGATACCTACAGACATAATATTTCTCTTCTAGTCGAATAAGTATGTACAACGTTCGGCTCTCATAATATTTTTTATCGCGTATATGAAAGGTAATCGTTATTAGTCGCACGAACCGTCGAGCCATCCATCTTTCCATCTTTGGTCGACAAGATTACAATCGAATCTTGGCTTTCCGAGTTTCTCGTTTATCTCGTTATGTATATCACAAAGCCAATAACTTAATTGTTTTTGCGAGTCTGTCTGCGGCGGAGACTGTTTCAATTGTTCTCGTAAATCTTCTGCGCATACATAACAGGGATAAAATTTAGAAAACGTATAAAAAAAGTTTCTCATGTCTGATTTTTGTTCTTCGTTTGGATGATCAGGATAATACGCAGCCATTGTATGCAACAACGACCACGTTCTCGAACCTAATTCATCCTTATCCAAAGGACAATCGTCACGTCTATTACTTATAGATGAAATTTTCTCCTGCTTCTTCCCAGATTCCTGTTGTAAAAAACATTTGCATGTAAAGGTCTATACAATTTAAATTGTTTCTCAAGACAGATGCTCTAGTGCCTATTTTCTGATTTAAACATCTTACATAACATATAACTATTAACTTGTACTGTACAGTTTATATAATAATTATGTACCGCATTAGAGTTATTACACTCTTCTTATCGTAAAATGAGTATATTTTATAAAAATTATAGAAATGGATTGTCAAGTAATGTAAGATATGTAATGTACGAAAATTTAAATATTCTATTTTGTTATAACCAATATTAGAATGAAATGTAGAAATCACAGGAAAAATGAAAAATTTACGGAAAATTTTCGTCTGAATCACATCCGTGTATCCTTTCCGTACCTTTTCGGATTCAAATGTCTTTTTTTGAATTTTTGCCCACGTTTTAAAATCTGTACATGCACGACAGGGTTTTTCTTGAGACATCGCGTTGTAATCACCGTATACATCCGTGTAATCGTTTAAAAATTGTTGCGATTAATAATTCTCTCACGTGTGGGTGACGAAATGTTTTAGGAAATTATACTTCCAGTATCTGTTATACATAGAAATCAAGTTATGACATTTAACTATACAACTTATAATTAATACATCGATACAATAACAGACACAAATACCTGAATACGTTCCGACTGTTACAAATTACATACACACTTGCAACTTGCAACAACAACTTGTATCTGATTTCAGACCAGATAATTTCAGTTTCCGATTCAGATAAGAAACTGTATGCAATGAAATGTTTGCTTTACGAAATAAAAGCATAGATAGAAAACCTAGATTACACACTAAACACAGAATAGAGTAATAGAGTATGTAGTTGTATTCACGGTAGTACTTTTTCGAATACGCATGCGTATTCATATTCTGAATCGAGAGCTGAAAAAAGCTAAAGTTTCGGCTCTGTAAGACGAAGAGTACCTCTGGTTCTGATGTAACGTCACGTATACGTATGATTCTCTCTGTACTCTGCTGTATTCTGCTCTGTAGTAAAGAAAGAGAAAAAACTACATACGTGTTTTACTAACCTGACTTTACTACAGTACAAACTACAAGAGTACAGTCACAGTGACTACAGTACATCGTACAACCAACCAGCCTACAACCAGTGGTGACAAATGTCAATTGTCAAGTGCAGCTTTGACTGCACCGCAAATGATACGACGGTTGTCGGTAAAGTTGATCTTCTGCTGAAGTGATGGCTAATCGCAAAAAAACTAATGAACCGTCTCGATCTCTATCAAAAAATGTAAGGCGTCATGTTGACGAGGTGATGTTTTCGTCGTCAACCTCTTCTTCCGAAGAAGAAGTATCATCGGGATGTCGAAGCTGTAGAAATACTTCGAAAGAACATTTTAATAGAAATCGCATTGAATCGGATACTCAAATAGGTTAGATTTCATTATATTCTTCACCAATTACGACATTTCTTTGATAATTACATTAATTATTTTCTTTCTTTTTCTTTAAGGTCAAGATACAATACGCCGCGAAGAGAATCCTTTTAGTTTTAAACATTTCCTAAAAAATGGTTCTCAGACAAATTATTATAATGCCGGAGCTCGTCCAAAAGTTTATTCTCCTCTTCCGACAACAAGCCCGAATAACTTGGAAAAGGACTCCACGGTTTATTCCCGCAACCCAACAGAACTACCCGACTTTGTACAAGATCATCTAGTTATAGAACAATGTTATCTGAACCATGAACCCAAGCAGCAAGCTATTTCAGATCGCGATTATCTTCCTGATTTTGCATTCAGCGTAGAAGAGAGGCAATTTCGACTCGAATCGAGGATAACCGAACCACCTATGCACGATCTTCCATTCGATTTGACTGGAAGCTTAGACAAAGGTTTGACTCATACAAAGCAGTCCGTCCCAAATGCGGTTTGCGCCACCGATTTAAATTTACCCGTTTACGATAGACCCAATGCAGGATCCACGGAACGTCCACAACCATCGGGTAGTTACAAAATAATACTTTCTATCGACAATTACCGAATAACTAGAATTCACATATATCTATATGTATATATAATTTTCTATCACTCAGGATTTCCATTAGATTTACCAATACCTGGAACCGAATCTGTTACCGGTTCAGATATTGCGGCAAACGAAACAAACGTCTCGAAATCTTTACCAGACTTTTTAAACGACGGCCCTATTCACAATAGAACAACACTGCTATCCATAGATTTTGGAACTATCACGAATAGCGTAGAATTTACAGAAAGACGAGTATGATTATTACAAAAATCTTGCGACGAATACGTTTATTCGTCGTTATGTAATAAAAGTATATAGTAATTAAAATAGGTCGTATCGTTTAATGTATTATAATTTCTTACAGCTATCGTTAGAAAATGAAAGATTACGTTACGAATTAGAATTAGCTCGAAAACAAATTGGTGACAAATCGAAGAGGTAATCATAAAAAATGTCGATATTTTTAATGTTGTGTTATTTACGCGTTGTTTATTACAGGATTCAATTATTAGAATCAGAATTGGCATCTAGAAGAGAAGTAGAGCACGAAGAAACAGTACACCTCGAGAAAGCCATGGAACAGGTGGAAGATAATTTAAAACGTAGTACGGTAAGCACGTTTTTTTAGTTACGACTAATTTCCGTAATTGTACCGTTTCTTTCTTGCAGAGAAGAGCAGTAAACGCAGAAAGTACTGTTACATCGTTAAAAAAAGAAATGAAAGCTTTAACGGTTAGTATACATTTTCCTTGATCGCATAATTTATTAATTCGGTTATTGAACTGTGCTATACGAAGAAATGTAATCTCGATGTAGATAGAAGTATCACGGTTACGATTGGAAAATAAGGAACTTAAAAATGGTTGTACGACAAAGAGTAGGAAAGAGTGTGGTGGCTCTTCGAGCATAGATCTCAGAGTAAGAAAGTTAGCTAACGATTTAAGAACTGCTGCTTCATCTGCAGAGGTGTCGTTGAGGTAAAAATGTACACTTTGATCACGCACGATTATTAGTATATTAACACATTTCAATTATTATAAGTATGCGAATGTCTTTACAGACAGCTAATGTTTGGCGTCGACAATTTAAGAGAACTAGCTTCTGCGCTTGAAAATGTAGATAGGATAGAAGACCGGACCAAAGATTTTCTACCAGATTCCGATGAAGATAATGTTGCTGCCGTTGCCGCTGCTGCTGCTGCTGCTGCTGCTGATCCTGTACTTTAATACATTTTTGTATATTTCTCTTCCCGTACACCACTATTCCCTTTATTTCCATTTCCCTAATAATACATATCTCAGCCTGTGCTAATAAGTTCCTCGAACTCACGTGTGTTCTCACACAATGACAATTTTTTCTGGAGTCGATTGAATTCAAAGGCACGATATTCGTATCGTATTTAATACACCTTTATGTATTTATAGTTTTCGTTTTTTCATTCACACATCAACTATAAATATGTAAGCGTTAAACATTTTTTTTTCCTTGACAAAATATATTTATTTAAACGTTATTCTGGTTTTTAGCAGCAATCGCCCGTGAAAAATGTGTCTTATCGATATATCATATTTCTTCAAGTAAAAAGCTAAAGATTTTAACTTTTGTATATGCGATTTGATGAAAACCCGTAATATAATTCCAATAAACAACATTATTCAATTTCTTTGTATAATCTAAAAATATCAACCAAATAATTCGAACAAACGAAATCCTTTTGTGTATTTTTCTATTTAAAAAAGCGCGCCTTTGAATCTCAGAAAAATTAATTTCCTTTTAAACAAACTTGTGTAATTATATACAATATATATATATATACAAATACACGTACACAATAAAAAATCACCTTTTCAAAAGGTTGCCCTTATACGCGACAGAAAAATCGACTCCAGATACTTCACATGTTAGTATTATATTTTCATTTTCACATATAAAAAATGTAATTTAACTGAAAACTCCAAAGCTATATTCTAATACTATAATAAAGTAATTTATATCTACAAAATACATCTTTAAAGCTTAGTTGCTTTTTTAAATTTTAATTAAAAAGAATATTTATCGTAAAACAGTTTTTCAGTTGACAGATTTATTAACAAGTTACATGTAATTACATTGCCAGCAATGTATATTCTTTTTATTCGGCGGCAGTGATTATTGTGTAACACAGAAAGTTTAAAATCATCTTATATCCGCAGCAACTCAAACGATTAGTTTATAAAATACATACAAGATACGAAAATATTTAATGGTAAACTTTACATATAACATGAAATGCAAATTACGTCGACTTTATACTTGAAATATTTTGTGTATTATAGGGCACAAAATGAAACACTTCGTTATCGAAGACTTTCAAAAATACTGAGTAAGTCGGTTTGCGTTTCTGTATGACTAGTTTGAGTATTTAACCAGGAACGACATACACCTATCGAGATGTTACATCCAGTTTCGCATATCAAGGATTTTGTTTGCGTTTCTGTAGAGACAGTAGTGTCCTCCAGTTGAGTCCATGCCGTTTGTGTTTGTATATTAGATAATCCCAAGTCTGATGGCAGTATTTCGTTACAAGTTTGCGTACATGTATTACTATACAATAGTTCCATATTATCGAGATTATTAGTAGTTTGCGTTTCAATGTTAGAACTTAACGCGAATGATCTTGTTAATGTATCAGAATCGAAAAATGATTGGGAATATGCTTGTTCCGTCTGAGTCTCTATACTGCTAAATTTATCATCAAAAGTTTTATCTGTAAGCATAGGATCCGATCTTGATATACTATTTGACGGCACAAAAGAATATCCTTCGACAGTTGTCGATGTTTCTTCGACATAAGGTAAAGTCATAAGAGCTACGGTGCTCTTTGGAACGCATTGTACCAACGGATTCGTAGCGTGATCGTAAAACGTTTCAAATTCTGTTTGAGTTACATTGTCATTTAGAACTTCGAACATATCTTTTTCAGGTATCGTTTGAGTACCCGATGTACTTTTTTCCTCCCAAAAGTCTTGTAAACCAACATCGTGACGAAGCGGTAGCGGACTATTAGGAAATAAATTCGAAGAAGTAAAATTGCCAAGATTCAGATCTTCTTTCAACAAAGAGTAATCAGAATTTTGCGAGACGCAATTTTTGCTATGTTTTTGAATCTTTAGCGAATTTTTAAAAGTTTGCAGAGCTTCCGTAGTCTGCGTTTCCATAGATATTACATTTTGTTTGATTCTTTGAGAAACATTTGTTTGTGTTTCTTTAGATATTTCACGTTTTCCATTATGACAATGACTATTGTTCGTATATTTTAACGGACTCGATATTCTCTTATTTTTTTTGTAGTCGTCTGTCTGTACACCGATATCCGAAGTAATTTTTTCCACAGAATTACCAGTACAATTAAGTATTTTTCTTTCGTTTTGATTTATTGGTAAAATAGTAATTAATTTATTTCTGCCTGTTCGACTAGACGGTAAAATCACATGCATTGTTTTAGAACTTGGGCGTCTGAAAAAGTATGAAATGAAACAATATAAAATTATATTTAGGTACATATTTAGGTTGGTTTAAGCAGCTTACCTTAAAGAACTTTTGTATTTGTCGTTAACAGTATGCAACGATCGTTTTGCATGCGTAAGCAATGCTTCGTAAGAATTGTATGTCTTGGAACAAGAACAAGTAAATTCGATTCCGCATACTCGCATATGACCTTCTTTTGCTGCTTCGGTGGAGAAACTTTTTTCGCAATGGGTACACGCATATGTTTTTTCTGCGTGTACTTTAAGATAATGCTAAACGTATGTTTAAATAGATTAAATTTAAATGTAAATCTCAAAGCGTTCTCGATGTAACTTTACGAAATGAATACTAACCTGTTTAAGATACTTCATACTACTAAAATGTCTTTCAGCTTTTGGTGCGTAAATGCAAGACTTTACAGGACAGTGAAACTGTACATTTTCTTTTATTGCTTTGTCTAAATTTTTTCGCTGATGTACTTTCAGATCGTGTAAACGATATCGTGGCTCGTTTTGAAATACGAGTCCGCATTTATCACATTTAACATTATTTGTAATTACACCAAGTTCCTCTGCCGATGGGCACACACTTTTCACACATTTCGCTAGATTTTTAACCGGTTTTATTGCTTCCATTAAAAGTTATTTTAGCAAAGAACTTTATCAGTGCACGAGCTTGCTGCAATACTTGTCAGCTTGCAACTGCTTGCAATCTTAGGCTCGATAAGCTCAATGTGGTTCGATTAGTTCGATTAGTTCAATTGTCGTTTAATGTTATTTGCAGTTGCTTGTACTTATTTCCAGTTTTTTGCCTGACGGTTTTTTCCTTTTTCTCTTTGCTCTTGCGTGTTGAGGTCACGAGGTCAGTAAAATAGCTTGATCGAGTAAAAAGGTAAAAACGGATACATTGCGGTATTGCACGGGCCTCTGTCGGGATGTTGTAGCGAATTTGTTTAAATTTAAATTGTTGGAAACTGTATAATAGAATTAAAATGGGGAAAGATGTTGAATTCATTTATTTACTTTTACTAGATCGGTACGAGTTATTCGAAACGAATCGTACAGCGACCTTTTTACACCTTACTTCCATATAATACATGCGTAGATGTACGTATAAACATATCGATTTTTCGATACGTTCATGCATTATAAATAACTTATTCTGGCATTATCTCGAATAAATCTACCTACTGCTTCTGTTATCAAATACTTTAATACAATGCAGTAAAAGTATTCATAGTGCACAGTGTTACTACATAAATGTTACGCTAGATCGACAAAGTTGCTCCACTTTTAACTGATACAACTACATATAGAGAAAGATGTATAAGTATATACATACATATTTATGTATAAACGCATACACAAACGTGCCGTATGAAGCAGTAACCAGTAACATTAATAAGTAATTACGTATATAGTTACTAGGTAGGTACATATTCCATAGAACCTGATGGAAGCTTCCCGCTTGCCCAGGCCCCAGATCAGTACCATTACGCACGGTACGAGCAGCGCTGCTCGTTACATACTACTACTACTACTACTACTTACTATTTACTGTTTACTACTTACACTATATCGTTGCTCAATATTTATCACTTGGTAGATATATAGCATTTGGTAGTACTCCGTAGTTACGCGTGGTTACGCGTACACGTCAACTGCCGTCAACTGGCGTCAACCGATCATTGCGTTTGCCTTTACCAGTCCTTTTTCTACAAGTGAATGCGTAATTTCTCAACAAAGACAACAAAGTTGGTTAATTATTCTGAAACGTACATACTTTTTCACAAATATCGAGCTTTATCTGCTGCCAGCACATCAGAGTTCGGTTTCTTGACATGCCTCGGATATTAGCAGGTTCTTAACGATTCTTAAGGGTACGATATTTCTATCGAGAATTCTATATTTATTTATCTATTCCTTTTCTTCGAAAATATAAAAACCAGCATGCAATCACATTTATTTATTTATTTATTTATGGAAGGAACTTAGCTATCGATTCAAAGTATCGAGAACCGAGTAGCTATATCTTTTTCATTACAAATTGTACAACTACAGTTAAGTATCAATTAATTAGAGTTAGTAAATTTAAGATAGATACTCTGTCAACCACATTTCGTTGAAAAATCGATAAAACCATCTTTTGTTTAATTCGAAAGTAGCAGTTAAGAGTGCATGTATTGTAAAATGTGTTTGTCAGCTTTATTTTTTTAAATTAATTAAACTTATATAAATAGCGAGAAATTTATATTTATTTTAATCATGATTGCCATTCCATTCACAAAGAAAATATTCTTTCCAGTTCAATTTCCTTTAAAAATTTGTAAATTGGTATAATACTTGATGTATACGCATGTATGCATTCAATGACTCTGTTGGTGTTTTGACAGGTATACATATACCATAAATTATATGTTTCCTTGTTTCGAAAATTGTAAAACCGGACCAATATACTCTATTTGAAACAGATAAATGCAAAACCTGCTAGAGTACGGATTTGACTTTAAGAAGAAAAACAAATTGTCGTGTTGCGCAGCAAAGTAACAATTTACAGGGATAAGCTAAAGAAAAGCAAGGAAAAAGAGAAACATCCAGAGAAATGAAAGACACTGCAAATAAGAAGTACGAACAACTTTTAGATGACAATGAAGTCAATGTTGCCACTGACAAGGAACGTAACAAGAATACAGTATTGAGGGAGGTAAGATTAGCTTAAGGTCGAATAATTTCTGCAATTTATTCATCCTTGCTAACAGAGTGTGTTGTAACAACAAGAAAATTTGTACGTCGATGAGGACAGATATACACATGTTATTTGTTTTCAATAACTACTAATTTTCTAACAGTGAAACACGTAATATGTAGCATCTGTTCAAAGAGTACTCAGCTGCAAACATAGTGACTAAATTGCCTTAAAATAACAAGTACAACAATATAGTCTTCCGAGTTAAAAATGAAATGGATTAATAATCGGTAAAACAGAAAATCGAATAGTTACAATCTGCATCAAATATTCAAAAGCTGTGCTACACGAAAGTTACATACAAAACATTACTCGAGGGATTACCGCAGTGTAGAAAGGGAACAAAAAATTGTGTTACTCTTCCTCATTTTTTTTTTTTTTTTTTTTATTATTTCTTTAATGACTTTTACGAATATTATGTGCCTTGAAAATGGTTGAAAATCAATGGATTACAAAACCTAAGAACATGTCACAGAAGGTGGGTCGAATCGAAATATTTTATCGAAATCAAGTTTTCAATCGTATTAACAGTATAAACTTGACAAATAAATATCTTAGCACTTTTATCTTTGGCTAAAATAGTCTATATATAGTACAGTAAACACCACCAGTATGGTATAACACAAATTCGTACAACGCGCGATATGTAAACCGAAATAGGTGATTTTCTCGTTTTCTCCGTTGGTTATTTAAACATTTTCAATTTCTTTTAATTTTTGACATAATTTACCGTCAACGCGAAAAATAAACTATCTACATCCGTAAATAATTGTATAAATGTTTAGTTCACGAAGTGTAATGTAAGATCGTAGATCCACGTATATAGATCTATGTAAATCCCTTTATGTAGTAGAAAGTGCTGGAATGTCGTTCCAGGTATCAACTGTGTAACAGTGTAATAATACAATTCCAATTGCAATACTATAGGATGTAAAGTGTCTAATTAATGTTTACGTGTACGTGTACGTGTACGTGTACGTGTATAGCAACGCTAGAGCAAATTACGATAATGTAAACACGTTATATCTATGTACATGCAACATACATGCATTAAGTGAAACACTATTGCATATATGTACATGTAATGTATACATATGAACTTTCATTACATTGCTTTCCCGAATTTACAACATTTTCTTAATGTTATTGATTTTATCTGTTTGCTTAATTTATATAAATATGTATTTATAATTTATGTTTGAAAATAAATGTCTAGAAAGCTGCGTATGTATCCTATGTATTTAATTTGACTTGTGTTTTTCTGAAATCTGTCAAGGTTAGGATTTGCAATGATTCATATTTTGATGCAACGATACATAATTCTTTTTTGAACAACTATTCGTTATAAAATAGTCGTTACTTTTTTATACCATGAAATACTAGTAAAAATAATTAACATTTGATGTGATTTATTATTTGATGCATCATTACTATGCGTATGCAAACATATATATGTATATATATATAAATATGTTCATGAGCCAAACGGAATATGCAACGAGCAAACGTTATTATGTATTACATTAAACTTTAATTTGACACATAGATTGTTGTTGCATTTTGTGTTTATTAATTGTACAATAAATTAAATATCGATATACATAGTACACTTTTAATACTTTCTTATAAGCAATATGTTAAAAAACTTGCTCATTTTTTATAAACAAGTACCTAGAACAAATATATAAATAGGTACCTAAATAATGGATTAAATGTTCAAAAAGTTTCCAAGTAATATTTTACAACGATAATAAGCTTATAATATAGCTTACAGTAAAAACCCTTTAATATAGACACGTGAACAAATCTTAACAAGTTAGTCGAAGAACGTTAAGAGAAAAATAACATTTTATCGTTCAAGGGTGATAAAGATCAATCCCCAGAAATGTGGTTGACAACTAACGAAGCAGCCAGCCTTGGTGCAGAGGAAGTAGCAGCCAGGTTACACGTCGATGTTAGAACAGGATTGCGGTGGCAAGAAGCTGATCATCGAAGACAGTTAGTCGGATACAATGAATTTAGTGTAAAAGAAGAAGAACCAACATGGAAGAAATACGTTGAACAAGTATGTTACGTGTTTCCCCTTGTTCGTCTAACTATATGTTAATCTAAATAAAAATACAGATTTAATAGTTGTATATTAACAACAGTAATAATAATGAGATCTCCTGTTCCAGTTCAAAAATCCTTTAATTCTACTACTACTGGGTTCTGCTTTTGTTAGCGTATGTATGAAGCAATTCGACGATGCAGTCAGTATTACAGTAGTGAGTGTTATTTTTATCCTCGTTGTATTATAAATTTAATTATTTTTTAGTACTCGAATCCTTGCAGATATTAAACTTATGAACAATTTTTCTTTCTAGGCTATCATAATAGTAGTAACGGTTGCGTTTGTGCAAGAATATCGCTCTGAAAAATCCTTAGAAGAATTAAATAAATTGGTGCCGCCAACTTGTCATTGGTAAGTAAATTTATATTTTTTACTACGTATGTATTTTATAAACACGAATTATACACGAATATATAATATATATACGGTAGTATTAGTATAGTTAATATTTTACTACTCTTTTCAGTTTACGAGAGAGTCGTTTAGAAACATTTCTCGCTCGTAATTTAGTTCCTGGTGATATAGTTTACTTGAACATCGGAGATAGAGTACCTGCAGATATCAGGATATTTGAAGCAATAGATTTAACGATCGATGAAAGCAGTTTTACCGGAGAAACTGAACCAGCACAAAAGTCAACAACTCCGTTACTCAAGGCCAATGGGTTAACAACGAAGAAAAATATAGCATTTATGGGTACATTGGTGCGCTGTGGAAATGGAAAAGTAAGTTGCACCATAGGAAATGTGTCTTTGCAAGCGTGTAAAATGTATCAATAATTAAAAACATTTTATAGGGGATAGTAGTGAATACAGGAGAAAAAAGTGAATTTGGAAAAGTTTTTTCTATGATGCAAGCTGAAGAAGCTCCAAAGACACCGCTTCAAAAAAGTATGGATATTTTGGGCACTCAGTTGTCCTTTTACTCGTTCTGTATTATTGGTATTATTATGCTTCTTGGCTGGATTCAGGGCAAAGCTATACTTGAAATGTTTACTATCGGCGTAAGTTTGGCAGTAGCAGCTATACCAGAAGGTTTACCTATTGTTGTAACTGTAACTTTGGCACTGGGTGTTATGAGGATGGCTAAAAGAAAAGCCATTGTCAAGAAATTACCAACAGTTGAGACACTCGGTATGTGTGTGTGCAGTCCGTAACATTTATCTTATTCAGACGTAAACGGGTAAATATTATATTGTCGATGCATAGGTTGCGTGAACGTGATATGCTCCGATAAAACTGGTACAATTACAAAGAACGAGATGACTGCGACGATCCTTGTAACCTCGGAAGGATATATAGCTGATATTACCGGAGCTGGCTATAACGATAAGGGAGAAGTTCGAATTCGAAAATGTGATAACTATGACCTTGCGCGCACCGCTATCAGTAATATGCTAGAAGTAGGATGCGTATGCAATAATGCTATAATACAGAACGATACTCTGCTTGGTCAACCAACGGAAGGTGCACTGATAGCATTAGCCACAAAGTACGGAATGTATGGAGTTGCTGATAAATATTTGCGGCTACAAGAATATCCGTTCTCGTCGGAACAAAAAATGATGGCTGTGAAATGTGCACCAAAATACGGAGAGGTAATACAAGGTTTTAGCGCATGCAACTTGACTCGAGATAAATTACTATTCGGTATTCTCGTGGCTTATTTCTTCTTGTTCTTTTTTCTTTCTTTTTTTTTTTAAATCTTAATATTCTTACGTTTGATACGTTACAGAATAGGCAAGAGATATATTTTGTAAAAGGTGCTTTGGAAAAAATTTTATCTCAATGTACCAAGTACTCTGCTAATGGTCAAGTGTATTCCCTTAATCAAAAGAAAGACGAAGAATTTCTAACGGAAGCTTACGATATCGGTCAACAAGGATTAAGAGGTTAACTATAATTTACAAAATTAGAACTTAACTTTACTTGTCTCTATTATTTGTCTACATATATTCGAATAAATGAAATGATTATAGTAATTGGATTGGCACGCGGTACTTCATTACAAGATCTTGTGTATGTCGGTCTTGTCGGTATATGCGACCCTCCTCGGCCACACGTTCGCGAATCTATAACAACTCTGATTAACAGCGGCGTGAAAGTCAAGATGGTTACGGGTGATGCCAAAGAAACTGCAGCGGCAATAGGTATAATACGCATGTGTAATTTTCGTTCGGTATACTCTTTAAATGTACCGTTACAGTAGTGCACCGCATCTGATTTTCTATTTTAGCAAGTATGATTGGGCTAGATGTACTTCACTCGCGGCTAATGTCTGGAGATGAGATTGATTTAATGTCCGAACACCAATTAGAACAATGTATCGATAATGTTAGTGTATTCTATCGTGTTACGCCTAAGCACAAATTATGCATCGTTAAAGCCTTGCAAAGGGAAGGAAATATAGTGGGAATGACAGGTGATGGTGTAAATGATGGAGTTGCATTAAAAAAAGCAGATATAGGCATTGCCATGGGTAAAAATGGTACCGATGTATGTAAAGAAGCTGCGGACATGATTCTACTTGATGACGATTTTGGAACTATTATGTACATATTAGTAGTCATTACGCATTTGCTTACCAATATTTCTTTTTATTTTACACGAATCTTTTTTAATCGTGTACATATATGTATGCGTATATGTTTTTAGCGATGCAATCGAAGAAGGAAAAGGAATTTTTCATAATATACGAAATTTCGTAAGATTTCAATTGAGTACCAGTATAGCTGCTCTTTCTTTAATTGCTCTTGCTACTTTGATGGGTATACCGAATCCTTTAAATGCCATGCAAATACTTTGGATTAATATTATTATGGACGGTCCGCCCGCTCAAAGGTAACCGAAACTAGTAAATCGGAAAAATGATTTAAGACTAACCTATGCATTATGTTAGATAATTATTCTATGTAATCATTTGTTAGTCTCGGAGTCGAACCAGTCGACAAGGACGTCTTGAAACAGAAACCACGTAACACAAAGGAACCAATGATTACACGGCAACTTATTCTCAATGTACTATTGTCTGCCATTATTATCATTGTTGGCACTTTGTGGGTTTACAACAAGGAGGTATGAAATTGTTTCACTAGAAATAAAATATTTAATCCTGCAAACATTCAAATATTTTTTTCGATTAGATGACAAATGGTACCACTGCAAGGGATACAACCATGACATTTACATGTTTCGTTTTCTTTGATATGTTCAATGCTCTAAGTTGTAGATCGCAGGTAAGAAGTGTACGATAGCTGTTGTTGTTAATAGCATTTAATTATATTGGTTCTTAAACTGAACATAATACATATACATGTATAAAATTTAGACAAAATCAATATTCACTATTGGTTTATGGAGTAACAAGATGTTCCTGGTAGCTGTTACATTATCAGTAATAGGTCAAATGTTAGTGATCTACTTTCCACCGTTGCAACGAGTTTTTCAAACCGAGGCTCTAACAGCAAAGGGTATACATAAATTGGATTGAAATCGTATCGTATAATGTATAACCTGTTTGTTAGTCAAGATTAAAGCGATAAATTTTGTTTCTTCTTTTTCCGCAGATATATTGTTCTTGGTTGCGCTAACGTCGAGCGTTTTTGCGGTTAGCGAGATAAAAAAATTGATAGAGAGACAGGTTTACAGACGGCGACGGGCAGGTACACAATATTACAATAAGTCCGAGATGGATTTTGTATGACAGTTGGAGTCTGCCGAAGACAAGGCGGACAAGGATCATTTGGAATAAATATCCAAAACATCGGACGGGTAGTAGTCAGTCATTTTGTTCGTTCGTTCGTTCGTTCGTTCGTTCGTTCGTTCGTTCGTTCGTTTATCAACATTATCTCGCTATACACTGGACTATGTGTGCACATTTGTAATTTGTAATTTATATGTACACCTGTCACGAAACGAAAACATCGTCTTGCGCTGTCAACACGTCAACTATTCGCAAATTACTGCGTCTTTTTAACATTTAAACATTTTTTGACTCTCTAATGTATGATAATCGGACTTTAGACGTTAAGATTAAGCTGGTTTCACGTCTCGTCGATCCAGGGATTATTAGACACGCGTCATAGACTCTAGTGACATCATGCACATTCCACACACTTTTCGTTTAAGATGAATCATAAAGGTAACCGTTTAGTAATTCGTATTTATAGTGATCGAGACTAAAAAAAACGCGATCATTTTAACTTGCGCGGTTAGCAAAGTAATTTATCTCTCTCTTAAAACACATCTGCTCGTTTACTCTTAATAGAGTCTTTCGGATTACAATGTTACATAGTATTACAAATTAGTAAAATAAATTCAAGGCAAGAAACACATGTTTACGAAGTAATCAAGTATACACAACCGATTGCATTTAAAAGTACAATTTTTTAGTTCCTTAGTTGTACGATAATATTCAATATGTTTTCCGTAAGCAAGGAATAATATAAAAACAACAACAATAAAAACAATATTATACAATATATTACAATACATCGCAGGTTACAAATATTTATTTGCACGTGAGTGGTATATAATTTGTTGTAATTGGAACCAAAATCGTATATGTGTTATATGTATGTATAACTCTAAAGTCGTCTATCTATATACCGATAATCACAATTTATCGAAAGGTTGTCGAGTAGTTTACTTTGTAGCGTGATTTGTACTCCCAGTTACTAATGGATTCCTTCCAGAGCACTATAAGTTTTATATTGATACAAGTCTGGTCCTCCGTAGCCGTAGAGTAATTTTCCTCTGCCGTTTTCATCATAGTATGGGTAGCGGTACTTGGGCCTTATATATATGTAAACAGGTATAGGTGAGTGTAATTTTGTAATTGCATTTACTTTCAATTAATATTTGATACATTTGTATTATATATATATATAGTAATATATTCTCTCTAGTAATATAACTAGAGAGAATCCGCAAAAGGAAGTCGAATTGGACGAGCACTTTTCAAACAGAATCGATCGTAAGGTAGAGGTAGAGGTTGACGGATATACAATAGAGAAATTGAAAAATATTTGCAAGATGAAACGATATAAGCCGGAAAAAAAAAATTCTACAAGATAATTGATTAACTTAACGATTTTTTGTAAACATCATCACTCATCGGCGGCTAATATTTTAAGATTTGTTTATAGTAATCGTTGACCCTTTGGTTTTCAGCGCTCGTCTAGATTCTTCTCCCGTCGAATTACATATTCATTCTCTTCGAACAACCGATTTCGATAACACGATAGCACGAGAATACCAATGTAGTTGTTTTCGTAATTGTACACGTCTTCTTTGATCTATTATAAATTTTCAGTTGACTCGATCGTATCGTGCTTTTAGTTCCTTACCGTTCGAAGTATTGAAAATTAGGCGCCTTCGGTTGAGCTATCGTTGCTACGCTTTCAGTAATTAATCCGACAAGAAAGGCGACGATTAGTGTGGCAAAGATGACTGCCGTCCACTGAAAGCAGGGCATTCTTTAGGAAAATACTTTTTTTCTTTAAACTTTTTACGATCACTTTATTTGTCGCCCGATTATTCCATTTCATTTGTCAGTTATTTAACTGATAATTATCAAAAATTTATCAAAATATGTACTTACGGTAGTGTGTTTCGACATAGCGATGATTGCAAGGTATGTATATTAAGAGGAAAGTTTCGAAAGTTTGTCACTGTGTAACGGGCAACTGCGAATCCGCGACAGTCGATTCTTCGCTCTTGAGCAAAACTGGTTCAATTATCCGATGAAATTGAATCTGTTTGATGAAAAGTAGCGACCGACATCATTACTAACGCTAACGCTAACCGTACGATCCGTATGTTTTCGTTTCTCTGATTCTCCACCGTTTCCCTACCTTGTTTAGGAATCCGTTACGGTTACGGTTACAGTTACGGTTACGATTCTTCTCTACACGCTTCCCCACTGAGATTCCACTAGGTTGGTTGGTTCGGTTCTGTTCTGTTCTGTTCTATCCTCGATACTCGATACCATCGAGTCACATCGAGTGAAAGTCGAACAGGATTGGACTGGACAGGACGCGTTGTACTTTGTACTTGTATCTTGTACAGTTGTATCGTTACCGCACGTAGCAGATGTGTCGCAATGCCGAAGAGGAACTTTCGAGTTTCGACACACACCGTTGCATCTTTACTTACGTTAATTAAAATACATCGAAGAATCGACTACGCGACGGTACAGGTTAACATTTCACAAGGTCAGAGAAAAATTTCTCTCGTCATTTTGAAACTGGAAATAACTTTTTCATTCAACTAGTGTTTCGTAATAAAGTTTGTGCATTCATTCGTTCTATTAAACTTTGTTTGTATTCACAGGAGTTTATAACGTTTCGATTAACGTTCGTTACTTTCGTTATATCTTGCATTTATAGCCGCATTTTATGAAATATTTTGCGTAAATTATAGACAGTAAAAATGACCGATCCCCTCCTTATTCGAGTAAACGTATTTCTTGACTTTATTTATATTATTCGAATTTGTATATGTATAACAGACCTTCGTAGAGACTACAGTCGGAATAAAGTCAATTGACCGTTCAAGATCACTGCGTAGCTAATTAATCTCACCATTCAGTTTGTTACCGACATTGTTCGTGTCCCATTGACCGTATCTGTACCCAGATGTTTTATTCTATTCTGTGCCTGACAAGGATCGAACAAACGTGATTCGCGACAGCGAAGGAACGTGGCCTTGAACGGGAAGATGACTTTGATCCCATTATAGCGTAACATGGATTTCTGATTACAACAGTACAATCTTCGAAATGACTATTAGTTGTCGTGTTTGTGCAAACGTTGCTCATAGTCCGTTGTACCTTGTATCTTGTATCCTCATAGTCCAATACCCATGCCAATCTTTGCTATCGCAATTTCACCGTGACGACCATTTTCTTGCTCGTACTTGACTCTTCTCTGTTTACCGACCTCTGGCTCGAAATCCCACTGCGTTTGCTGTCAAGGATTATTTGCACGACGGTTAACGCAGCTCGTCTATCTTTCTTTTCGGTTTTGCAGAGTTTCGTTATACTTGCCTCGTGGATGAGTGGTACTCCCGCCACGTTATACTGTACCAAATCGTGGATAAATGAAAAAACGGTAATGGGATTAGCGGCTGAAATTGTATACCTGCCAGCGTGAAATATCACCACGATAAAAGTCAGAAACACCTATGAAACAAATAATGTAATAAGTTACCTGAAATTACAACAATTTCCACCTAACCAGAGGATTCGATTCATAATAGATTTTATTCTTTCGTATTTCATAGAATTCTCTCGACGTTTGTTCGCGTCAAAGTACATTTAAATGATTTAATTTTTGATAAATTAACAAAATTCCAGCAGCGTATCACGTATCACAAGCGAGCTAAACGAGGTAACGAGTGATTGCGTTATCTACCGAATTACGAGGGAGATTCATGTCGTTCGTTCTCGGGGGTGATCGCGTACAACGTACAAGTACACTGTCGACTCTAGCAACGTTAACGGTCAAGCCACGATATTTGAACGAGTGCGGAATACCAACTAACCTAACCGAGTAACCGTCCAAAGGCCGTTTACATACATATAGCTATGCGAGTAAAAAATCCGTTGGTCGCGTCGCGATCATTTCTCTCGTCTGGCGCAATACCAAACAGAAACACTACACCGCACCGGTGAAAGTAAAAAGAACCGATCGCGAGCAATGACGCGCGAATTGTTTGAAAAAACTATACGCCGCGCCGTACTTGCTTGGTTCGTTGGTTGAATGACAATTTATTGTCTCGGAACCGATCGACGCTCGATGTATTCTATGCACGGCGTGGGCGTCCTCCCCTGAAAAAGTTAGCCATAAAAAGCTGACTCGAAGCAACGAACGATGCGATATTCCTTTCTGCCTGTTCCTACCCAAAGGTTCAAACGTTCGAACAAAGAGAACAAAATGCGACTTGTAAATGTAAATACATTAGCGTTTCTATGGGCGGTAAGTGAAGATTATCTGGGATGAAGTTTAATTATATCGTGAAATTGTATCATTTTTCATGTTCTGTTATCGTCGTGTGTACAGGTACAGGTGTGTACAGGTATAGTCGTTGAATCAAACGGTACAGTGTTAACGCGAGTCGCGAGAACCCTTCCGTTTGATTTGTCTTCCTCGAGATGGTCGGAGATGTTGCGAACCCTCTGGTCGGGAGGACGGCTCTGGGAATGGCCACGGAACAGTATCGAGGGTTTGGTGAAACTAGTGGCTTCCCCGGATACAAGAAAGAAGATGGTCTTTGAATTTAGACCCGATGATGGACCGCGTGCTTCGTACGCCTATCAAGCTCGTTACGGATATAGAGGACGGTGGCTGATAGAATTACTCGGTTCAGGTTTTCATCTTGATGAAGGCCGCGGCGCGGTCTCCATTTTCCAACCCTTGCCGGCAACCATATTGCTTCCACCATCGCCGCCTCCTTTGTGATTGTGATTGTGAATACTTTGTTTAGCCGTTAGCGTACTATCTACTATAGCCTATAGCGAGATGCGAATGAGGCTACCGAGTGAGAATACATTTTTCTACGGTCTTGTGTTTACACTTCAAGAACTCGATCCAACATTTTCGACTTACTCTTCGACACTACTACTTTTCTTTTCTCCCTATCGGTCTATTTCTCGAAGCTTTCCAAAAAATATTCTAAATATGGTTAGGATAGTGGTACAGTTTAAATTTCATTTTTTACTATCGATATTACTATACTAAGGTATCGTAGTCGTAGCTGATGCCAGCGCCATGCGTACTTGCCGAGCACCGAGATTCCGAGTGCGTGTGGCCGTGTTGGTATGGCTCGTATCGCTCGTATCCTCGTATGTGCTCGCATAGCATACCGTGACACCCAGTGACACCGTGTGACCCTAGAAAAAGCATGCGAGAGTAATCCGTGTTATTATTTTCTACCCAACATAGCCATTAATAAAACGTAATTATTATTACACGTTCAAAATGTTTCCACTGCTGAGAAGTACCGTTATGTTTAAAAATGTTGAAGCCAAACGCGTATCCATAAGATTGTACAAACGAATGGTTTGTTTTACAAGTTTTTCTGGATTTTATCGAATTTTATAATATAGTATGTTCATTGTACAATTGTTAAAAAATTGTCACGTCGAATTCATGACATAGGTATCAAAGTGTAATCATTCAAAGAGAATATTTTCGGGAATTCAACCAACTGGAAATGTGCATTTAGGTAATTACCTTGGCGCTATACGAAACTGGGTGCAACTCCAGGATAGCGGAGAAAATGTTCTTTGGAGCATTGCAGATATGCATTCTATTACTCTGCCACACGTAAGATTTAAAAAAATTAATCTGCGATCTGTATAAATACGAATACCTCTTTTTCGAAAGATATCGCTTCGTTAAGAATGCTTTAGATTTTAAATTCTACCATTATTTACTTTTAATTTATGTCCGATTCGTTTCTTAACTTTCCACTTTTCGACAAAATAGATATGTAAATATGCGTATTAAGAGTAAATGTCCTAGGATCCCAAAGAGCTATACGAAAGTGTGTTAAAAATTACCGCGACGTTATTAGCATGCGGCATAGATCCAAAGAGAAGCATATTATTTCAACAGTCCGCTATACCTATGCACGCGGAATTATGCTGGGTTCTGGGATGTATAACAACTTTAGCTAGGTTAGCACACTTACCTCAGTTCAAGGAGAAAAGCGAAACGTTAAAAAACGTTCCATTAGGTTTATATATCTACCCTGTTCTACAAGCAGCCGATATATTATTATACAGGTAAATGTTGCATACAAGATATCAAAAACATCTTCATTAATGTTTCAGTTTCGTTCAGTATTATCTTAGAGAATATATTTAAAAAAAATTAACTACTTTCCCACAAGGAAGAGGTATATGAAATATACATTGTAGAGCAACTCATGTTCCTGTTGGGCAAGATCAAGTTCGACATATTCAGTTAGCGCAAGACTTGGCTATTTCGTTCAATAAAAAGTTTGGAGATACTTTCCCTATACCACACTCTTTGATAAATGGTAACTTATTTAAGTACCCCTAACATGTATATGTTTTTATGTATTTACAGCATAACATAAAGACGCTCGATATAATAGGGATAGAGAATAAGGTATAAGTCGTAGAGGTGGACAAGTCTCAGAAACAGCTTTTCGAATACTCCTTTGACGCGACTGTTATATCGAGAGTTTTTAATATTTATAACTGCACGTATAAGTGTACATGAATACCAACATGCAATTATACAAATAGACGAATCTGCTTGTACGATATCTACATGCAGATCCTTAATAGAAAATTAATGTATACATATATAGATGACGCGAGTCAACGAATAAAGTCTCTACGCGATCCTCTAAAGAAAATGTCAAAATCAAGTTTGGACTCGAAAAGTAAAATAGACATAGTCGACGAGCCTAATAAATTGTTAGAGAATATAAAGAAAGCTGTAACAGATTGTACATCAGAGGTAACTTACGAACCCGAAAAACGTCCCGGTGTAGCAAATTTAATTTCCATTCATTCTATGCTTACCGGGAAAATGCCAAGCCAGATATGTTTAGAAGCGCAAGGACTAGACACTGGAAAGTATGTACATGCGTTTAAGATTTCATATTTTGATTTTTCATGGGTGTATAAACGACCAAGTTTCTTTACTTGTACGAACAGGTATAAATTGGCGTTAGCAGATTTGATTATAGAGAAATTGTCTCCAATTCGAGAAGAATTTTCAAAATTGATCAAAGAACCAGCATATTTGGAACAAGTGTTGAAAGGTGGTAGAGAAAAAGCAACAGAAATTGCCACAAATTGTTGGCATCAAGTTCGTGAAAATGTTGGCTTTGCAAATAACACATACTTAAATGAAAAAAAATGTAAAAAATATAATTAACACCTATCGACAATAAAACATGCTCAATCTGTATGGAATAAATAATTTTGTATGATATTGTTTTTACTCATTCATTGGATTATTATTATTATTATTATTATTTTTTTTTTTGGTTTTTTGTTTTCTTTAAGTGAAAGAATACTATCTCATATCAACAACCAATTTACCCCGTAAGTGACCTTGAGCCACTCTATCATACGCCAATGGTAATTCATGGAATTGATATACTTTTTTTACTACAGGGACAACCTGAAATGAAATAGATATGTTTTGTAAATTGCTATACATGTAGCAGAAGGAAAGGTGAAATCATACATATTTCTAAATACCTCTCCCCTTTCAACGAATTCTTGAAGTGCTTTAATTCCGACTTGCGAAGGCGCAAAGAATCCCCACTTTACAAAGCTTTTATTTTCCGCAGTTGGGATGTTATATTTCACCAGTTCTCTTATATTTTTCACTGTACCGGCAATTAGTCCATGTTGATCGATATTTTTTAACAACGGAGAATTTAAAGTTATATAAGTACAATGCGGAAAACCCTTGGATCGTATTAGATTCGGCCCCTGATTAGCGCAATCCAAGATTATGTTGTATCTACGGCAAAAGTCTTTGTGAAATTTGTACGAAACATCGACATAAATTTGTCTCTGTATTATAAAATTACATACGGTCCTTCCGCGATTACTCTTGAATCGGCATCGTCTAGTTTGTAATCGATTACAACATCAGCTCCTAATTTTTGTACTAGATTTATGGCATCGCTACTACAAGTGGTAATAACCTAAACCAGTTTCATTTATGTTTTTTTAACGCATAGAAACGATAAGTTTGGTGTATCTTGTAAGCAACGTACATGCATGTTCCAAGCCTTTGCGAGTTGTATAGCCAATGTGCCTACTCCACCCGAACCACCTAGTACTAAAATTCTATTATTTTTTCTCGTGGCCATTGTACTCTTATAACATAATCCACCGGTGATCCATAAAGCAGACCATGCCGTAAGGCCAGCATATAATATACTAGCTGCTTCGACGGATGATAAATTTTTAGGACGTAAATCGACCTACAGAGACAGAATATTTTCAATTGTTTCGATACTCTATACGTTTGACATACTTTGTTTGAAATAATCCTTTGGTTTCCTAACAATCAAACGGAATAACGTTAATATTTACCAAAGTACTATCGACAACTACGTAACCAGCATGACAACCCTGTCGTTCTACAGGGACAACACCCCATACTTGGTCACCTAATTTTAACTTTGCGCCCACATTGTGTCCTTTGGAAACTATCGTACCAGAAAAGTCTCTGCCTAAAGTCAACGGAAGCTCCAATTGTTCGTATCGTTCACCAGTAAGACTTTTTGCTTTTCGCATGAAATTTAGAACAGCTGCTCCATATCCTCCTAATAGTATCGTAACAAGTAAATACGCCTTTTGAAATGTTAAACTGTGAGAAAAGAACGGATGTCTATATATACATATAAAACGAGGTATATAGTACTTGTCATAGCAACGTCTATCGGATTTATGCTAGATGCTTCGACCTTTACTAGAATATCCGTTGGTCTAGTGATCATTGGAATTCTGGTGTTGGAAAGCTTCAATTCCTCCAGGCCACCGTACGAGTGTATTTGCCAAGCTTGCATTTTATCTTGGACGTTTTTCTTACATTTCACCGACAGCGTACTAGCAGAACGCGAGCGAATATTTCCAAACGTTAATTTTAAATCCAATATAGTCCTTTTCAGCATTATTTCCGATTAATTTTGATGAAACACCGAACAGAAAGACAATTTGAAAGATAGGTTATACGTCCAAACGTCTCGGAAAGTCTCGCGTTGTTTTCACTTAATGTACATAGGTATTTAGTGAAAGTAATTTTTTTTCATCTAAACAAGACAAATTGCTACTTTTACATATAAACGTACAATTTAATGTCTATTTTGAACGTTTTGTTGTAAAAAAAAAATGTTTGACGATCAACTTGTCAACATCTGTGATACCAGTTGAACGTTATTAGCTGTCATTAGTCCTCGCGTCTTTTCTTTTTTCTCTTTAATTTTTAATGCCTACCGATGTATGTTGTATATCTTTTACAACAGTTTTGTAATTTATATACCGATGGTTTCGAAAAATCATCTATGATTTATTTTTACCGAATAACAAAAGAATTCTATACGATAAATTAGCGTTGAAACTATTTTACAAAAAATTGTTACTTGCTAGAATATCTCGAGGAAGGTTAGTTGGTTGGTTAGTTTATTACAAAAATACGGGTGTTTAGATTCTGTGGATCTATCTCCGCCTTTTATCATCTCTTATCACGCACTCGAGGGAGATGCCAGTTAACAGTTAACAAATAACAGGTAATAGGAGGTAATGCCGTGAGGTTACGCCACCTAGCGACGGGTCTCCGAACATGTACGTACATGATAATAATCGTACCCGGTTCGTAAATATAAGCTGCATTCGGTACCTCTGTGTTTATCCATCACGTTACAAAATTTGCGATGATAAATGATACAAAAACGGTTGATTCACACGTATTTTCTTTCTAAAAATGTTTTATGGTCTATCTCAGAATTAACAGATGACTCGTATTTTATAACGAGGATTCGAACGATGAGAAATGGAAACGCAAAAAGATAGGGAAGAATAGTCGATCTATGCAATTTTACACAATTTTAGCTTTTACTAAAAATGATAGGAGAGAGCTTCGCTGCCAGGTTGGTTCTTTCTTGCATTTTATAAGTAAATGTGGAAATGCGCATGTTTGATATCGATCTGCAATCGCTATGGTTACGTCTCGGTATAGTAGAAACCTAGAAACGCTACAGCAACAACAACGACGACGACGACGACGACGACGACGACGGCGACGACGGCGACGACGACGACGACGACGACGACGACAACGACGACGATGACGACGACGACGACGACGACGACGACGACGACGACGACAACGACAACGACGAC